AGCAATAGACACCAACCCACAGAAGCATAATTGATGATTTTTCATGCATTTCCATATAAAACTGTTTCTAGAGGGTCGAAGTTAAGCTAGGAATATAAACCCCATAATTAATAAAACCAGAGTTATAAACAACATAAGATACAGATAACTTAAAATAACCTTAACTTAAGCATTTCATAATGCTGTGTTCCAGTAAAAGCTGACCTCAAAAGTAAAATATACTTCTTAAGCTGTTGAATATTCTTGCAGCAAACTACAGCTCTTTTAATACATTCACTTTTTGTTTTGAATTTTTCTTTATTATTGTAAGCATGTATACATCAATAAGTAGCATTTTTAAAGTTACATAAGAGAGAAAGAAAATCAGTGGAATAGAGGTTTACAAAAACTACAAGAGAGTTAGACCATCCCACATTTTAAAATGGTGCTTAAGAAAAGCTAAAGCAAGAAAAAGTCTGTAGCTTCAAACATCTTGCACCAATAACCAACACATATTTTCACAAAAGAAATATTATTTTTAAAAGTTACCTTATTTTTCATAGCCACCAGGACAGCACACCTAAACTATCACATTCTTAGGGGCAGTCAGGCTCTTTTATAGCAGGCCTGAAACGAGCTCCAGGTGAAAGCTATTGATGGTGAAATAGCTAATGACCTTCAGCTGGCAAAGCTGATTAAACTTTTTACTCAATTTGATTAGAAATCCACAGTGACTGTGCTAAAATTATCACCACCAATGTAACTGATGATCTGGATGAAATTTAATTCAATTAAAATTCAAGACAATCCCTTTGTCAGACTGTTTAGCGGGGTAGGGGGGGGAAGTGCAGCCATGCCAATTAATTTGAACAATATCTTTGCTCCGAAGGAAGCTGTATTAGTTGAAGGAAGCTGTATTAGTTGACGAGAGGATTTTTCCCGTTAATGTTTGGTGGTTTGGATTCCTCGTGCTCGGCTCCGGGCCGGGATCGGGAAGCGGCCGCGGGAGCCGCAATGGCGCGGGACGGCCGCCAGGTGGCGCTGGAGACCGCGGCAGCCCCTCGGCGCCTCGGCATTGCCGGGAATAAAAACCTGGAATAAAAACTGGAATAAAAACCCGGAATAAAAACCCGGAATAAAAACCCGGAATAAAAACCTGGAATAAAAACCTGGAATAAAAACCTGCGGCAAAGGCAGCTCCGGGTGTGTAAGCGACTGCGTTAGAGAGCTCCGCTATGAGCGGGCACGTAAAAACCCCGCACATAAACTGCAGTTTCAGAGAATGGTAATTGTTTGGGTTAGGTCATGCTTGTGCAATTAAAAGTGATGGTGCCTATGTGAATATTTTTATGTCACAAAATGTGGCTTTTATATATTCATTTGATGTTGCTGCCAGAGGAGAGCAGCATTTAAACGCTGAATTAGCTACTTATCAGTGCAAAAAATTGGATGTGAGCTTGTGTCAAAGAAACTCAAAATATAAGGAAAAAGGAAGTGTGGGTTCTGAGTGACAGCTGTGGTAATATTGGATAGCTGCATTTATGCTGGGTGTGAAGTTCAAGTGCCTTTTTGAGATACTGCTAAAAGAAAAGTTAAAATAACTTTGAGTCACCCTACACTCTGGCTTCTATTGCACGTGGATTTGGCAACCTTGTTCTGGGTTTGACTGATCCCTTAAGTTACCAGATACAAACCAACAAAAAAATCAACTCCCTGAGGTTATCAGAAGAACTTGCATTGTTATTTTGTTTGTTTTAGCAACATCTTGCAATTGTGACTTTAACCCTGGGTATTTGGAAAATATTAAAGATGCATCAAATTTTACACTTTCTTTTAAGAATATATTGTATATGCTGAAGAAAGTATATTTTCATAAGTGGGTTCCTCAATAACATAAACCAGGAAGCTCATCGTGAGGCTCCTGTCGCCCAATCTAAATAAAAGTAATGGAAAGGTTTAATGAGAAAGTTCCAAACCTGAGAGTTTGGTTTTGTAACTCCCACACCTACTTGACAGATTTTGCACTGATCACATGCGGTCACAGAAGGCTATTTAAGGTCAGACTGGTAAGGAAAATGCTAAGTAAAGATGTGTTTGGCTAAGATGACTGAAATAGTGAGATGGAGTGATTTGGATGAGGTCAGTGTCTAATAGCTCAGAGAGGATTAGAAACAGTCATGGCCCTCAATCTGTTGCTGTAATTACTGAGCTACTCAAGTTCCTCACAGAACAACTTGGGTACTATTGGTATTCCTGCTCTTGGTATTCATGGTATTAATTAAAACATATTCATATTCTGGCTTCTGTTTAATGGAAAGTGAGTGTTCCATCTCAAAAAAACCCAGAACATTTTCATATCCACTTGCTGAAAAATCTGGATAGACTTGAACTTGTGTTTTCACAAAGCTGCACAACATGGCTTCAAGTTGTGTAGCTTTGTGTTCTTAAATAATGAAGAGCAAGAACATGTAAAAACAAATAACAAACAAAGCACACTCTAATGCTCTAGTAAGTTTTTCTTGTGGTGAAGCCTGGGTCAGTTGTGCCAAAGTGAGGGGCAGTAATCAGCACTTCTCACCAGGTGGGGCATTTGGCATCTCGGGCACAGTACAACATTTGTTAGCTCATATGTTACCCTGAGTTTAGCAGGGAAAGACCAAGAGGGCTTTTTAAACTCATCACTTTTTATCCAGATAAAAGCAAAAAGCCTCCTCCTCAGAGGAAAAAATAACCCACCAACACATTTACTTACTGCAATTAATCCTTTACTTATGTGGAATTCTTGCCTGCTGGTAGAGAAGACTCACAAAATATGGATTTCCATTTTATACAGGGGCAGCAGTGCACCGGTTTAATTAAGAGTTCTGATACAAAATGTCAATAAACTAAAGTATAAAAACTCCACACTTAGGAAACATCCACACTTCAGTAGTTACTGTATTTGTAGAATCTCTAAAGGGCAGTGGTTGTTGTCGAGGTCAGAAGCAGGGGAAAGGTTCCTAAGAGTAAATTTATGGTTACAGTAGCAAGCTAGGGACTAAATATAACCGAAGCTGCAAAGAAACGTGAAAAGTGACAGTCTTGTCATGGATAAGTAGGACTAAAGTATTTGTTTCCATAAAGTCATATTTACCACAATCACTGGACATAACAACCTTGTCATTCAATGTTCTTACAGCCTCCTAAAGGGAAATCCAGCTTCAAAGCTAAGGAATCCTGGTGTGTGTCAGAATTGGATATTGTAACACCAAGGAACGGTCCTGCAGCACCCTGGCAAGCTGGTCACTCCACCTGACAAATTGCTAACAGCTTGTTAGCAACCCATGCCTGAATTCTCTGTTCACATGTTGTGGATATGGTCTGTAAAACTGTCCTAGTGATTGCCATTTCAGCAAGGGGAAGAGAACAGGTCTGGGGATAATGGATTATTTAAATAACCAATTAGCTACTTTGCATCTAAGTTCCTAACTCTGCTTTAAAGCATAAATGGAAATTCTAAGCTGAGGAAAATATTATGGAGTTTGCTGAAATATTTTGTGTATTAAACACTAGGTATCGTAGATGACTATGGAACCAAAGGGGGAAGCAGCTGCTATTTTAACTCTTAGAATTTAGCAGGCTATGAGAGTGAAGTAACCATGCTAATACTTAGAATTTACAAAGTATTTTATTTTTTCTGAGATGTGCTCACTCCCTGTCAGTGCAGTTATATGGCTTGGTTAATTAAGTCACCGTTATCCTTATTTTAAAACAAGGGGGTTTAACTGTGGGTATTTGGAGTGGTTAATCACACAGTGAATGCAGCAGAATTAGGATTAGAACAGGATTGTCTCATTTCCTGTCCCTATTTTAATCCACTTGGTATTCTTGCCTGTCTAGACCATTCTGTATTTAATTTTGAATCCAATTTCTATTGATAAAAGCTAGACTCCCATTTTGATAGGAAAGTAGAAGTAGCATCATTTTTGATAGTAGTAGTGTTTTATTGGCTCCCTCTGTCCCATTTTAGACTGCTTCATTTCCAAGTCCCTTTTTTTCTTAGGACATCTATTTTTGTTTCAGTTGCTCCAAATAGGTTTGTTATCCTTGCATCCACTTACAGTCTATTGCTTGAATTTAACCTTGCATTACTTGATATTTCACTAAAGGGAGAATTTGCCATCACATGTTTACGTGCAGTGGCTTTTGTTAGGGATGTCACATCAAGTAGAACAGTAAGTACAAAAATATATTAATCTTGCAGAACAGATTAAAAGTTTAATAACTGCTTAAAAGGTACAAATTACTAAGGTTTTCTTTTGTGGAAAAAAAAGTGTTAGAAAGTTATGCTCTATTAATTCTCTTAAGTAGTGTGTTAAATATAGTTTTAGGTTCCAACATAATGTTAAAATAGATACTATGTATGGGGGGGGGGGGAGTTTTTTTTCTAGAAATGAGATACTCACTTCGAGGAACACCTAAATCTTCCAAAGGAGAGGAATTTATGGCTCCTTAGAAGAAACTAACTTCTTCAACCCTAGTTCAGACTCGAAAACGCCATGGGGATTAAAAGAAACAATTGACATACAACAGACAGAATTTCTTGTTTTAAATAGAATGTACGCATAACCATAAAGGATATATGAATATGCAACAAGTGTATTGGTTTAAGGATGATTCCTTCGTTCACAAGACATACTTTTCGTAACTTAGTGTCCAAGAGCATCCAGACGTCCATAATTATTGGCTTTTTATTGTCTTGTAATTGTCGTAACTCTAAACTTTATTACTCTAATTGTATTATTATTATTAATAACCACTTTATTATTATTAAACGTTTAAAATTTTAAAAACCCAGCGATTGGCGTTTTTCACAACCCGTCCCGGCGGCAGCGCTGAGGGCTCCCCGCGAGCTCGCGCCGCCCTCACGGGGCCCCTCACGGCCCGCCCGCGCGGGAGGCGGGGCGGGGCCGATCTCGCGAGACTTGGGCGGCGCCCCGGAGCCCGGTTTGAACGGCCGCAGCGGCGGGTGCGGGCAGCGGGCAGCGAGGGGGAGCGGGGCTGGTTCCGAGCGGGGCTGGCTCCGAGGGTTTCTGCTGTCCCAGCCGCCCTTCCCTGCAGCGGGTGGGGCCGTTTGCTGCCCCACGGCCCGTTCGGGCCGTAGCGGGTGTGGGGTCAGAGCCGGTCGGCAGCGGGTCGGGCCCGGCAGGAGGGGACAGCGGGACATGGCGCTGGTGACACACAGCGCTGGCACAGCCTGCCCGGGCTCTGCGCTGGCTGAGCGGTGAGGCTGTGCTGTGATATTTGTTGTTTTCTGTGGTACCGACCCTCCCAGGAACCTGTTGGTGGAAGGTGATCAGCTCCGGAAATCTTTCAGCCTGAGCGTGCAGCGTGGTGGGTGCAGATACGGACTTGTGTAAGTAACTGGCTGGAATGGTCGTGGGAGTGCCTGGGCTGAGGGAGAAAAAGCACCCTGGTAATTGTGCTCCTAATGAGAAAAATGCACGCGTGCTTCTGACAGGATCAGAGCACAGGCAGCTGTTACTAGTGGCCCTGGGGAATAGGAGTTTAACCAGAAGAGCTGTGCTAGAGTGGGAGAAGAAAGTTGGCCTGCCAGGACACTGCCTTTTATCTCCTACCCTGTTACTTTAATTAAGGAGACTTTGAATGGTTGAATAATCGAGGTGTGCAGCTCTCAGCATAGAATCGCCCATTAAATGTGTGAAGATATTTAGCCAAAAGTGAGTAACTCTTGTAACTCAGTAGAATAAATGATGACTGATGTCTGTTATTTCCTCCCTCCTGCCTACTCGCCTTGCTAGCCATTCAATTGATCTTAAAATGTTATTTTCAGAGTAATTTACTTAGCCTCATGTATAATATGAAATTGCTGGCAATTATTTCAGTGTACAGCTTCTTGAACAAAACTACTTGGACTTGTTTGGTTCATCCAGAACTGACGAGGAAAAATTGAGGCTGGCTGTGCTCCAAAAGGCATACTTGCTATTTTCCCTAATAGTCAGCAGGAATGTGTGAATAGGAAAGCTATTTCTCTTTTCCTCCATACTTCAACTGTAAAATTAAGAGAAAACCCATACTTTCTGTTGTCTAGTAAATAATTTATTAGCAGCTCAAATTTATTGTATGTGAAACTAGAAGGGAACTGCAAAAGAAATTGAAGACTTAAGAAAGAGTGGGACAAAAATCCCCTCAAAAAACTCTTAAAAACTACAAGTGTACCAGAAGATGACCCTGGTTGTAGCCTGTTTACTTGCCCCAGAGGCCAATTGCAGAGCATCCATCCTTTGGCAGCATTGCCTGCTCTGACTGTTTCTAAACTGTCTGACAGCTGCCTAACTGAGATTTGAATAAGATTTGCATTTATGTGGGGGTTTAGCTTGTGATCTGCATGTTCATGAGGCAGCCAGCAGGGTTAAACCTGTTTTGAAAAGGGACTGCTCTGAAGGGCTTTGCTGTGCTGGCAGCTCAGACTCATCCAGCCTAGACAACTGTTGCTTTTTTTTTTTCTTTTAAAGGTGGAGTGGAAGAATAAGGTCAAGAGATACTTCAGTGGGCTTCTGGAGGTAAGTTTAAACATGTTATTCATTTAAGTTAGCAATAGGAGCTGCCAAATGGCTGTGTTGTTTCTATACTCTTGTCTGATCAGAAAATAAAGCTATTTATAAAGTTCTGTTTATGTAGGTGAACAATGATTCATTTATCCTCTTTACTAATGGAAATGCATGCCAGTAATTGTTGCCTATGTTCTTGTATTGCTACACCTTGCCTTAAGCACTTAATTATTAATTTCTATGTGGTGTCCCTGTATTAGTATAATATTGGTGATTCTCAGCTATTGGTATGCAAAATTCCTGTGTTTCACTGGCTTATTTCAGTATAAGTGCAAAACTAGTATTTCAGACATTGCAGTGGTTAGAGGTGAAAACTGAGGTTTCAAAGCCTGGCTGGAAAAAGTTTCTTTATATGTGTTAAACCTGGATAGCAGCAAGTGAGGAGGAAATTCAAAAATCAGAAAGTTATCATTGCTGTCTTGTGCCTTGGACAGGAATTGGCACAATATGAGTACAATTACTTCTGCATGTTAATTAAATTCTTTTCTAGTAGGAAAAGCTGGGTAACTCTACGAGGGGTTTTTCACACTGAATAAAAGTTAGCAAAAAAAAGAAATGTAGGATAAATATGACAACATTCATAAGAATGATGTATGTGCCAGTGAGAAATGGCAACAAATAAATTGCTTCTGTTAGAACAAAAAGCAAGAGTCAGGTCTTCAATACATTTATTACATTACTTACTCTGAAATTATGTAAAAGTTATGGGCCCTGATTTTGAAAAATCTACTGCAAAATTTTTTTGCAGTGTGTTTTTCACTTGCTGTTATTTCCTACTTTCTTAGAAGACTCTTGGCATATGTTGTTCAGAAGCCCGAGTTACTTAGCATTTTCTGTCTCAATAGGATCTTTTTGCAGCAGGCTGATTTAGCAGATTTGGGATCAAGCAGTCATACAAGCTTATGGTGTTAATTTGACTTGATTTTTATTTTTTTAAATATTTGCTTTGTTGGATTTACTTCTACTAACTTGTTTGCAAAATGCACCTTGACTTCCGTTATACTCTGCAGATAGAAAGGATGAATTTTCTGAAATGTGACAAGGAGGTGATTGTTTACAAACAAGTAAACTAAGTTTTGAAAGACTCCATGAAGCACTTAAATAAATGCAAATCCCTGTGTTAAACTCCATATATTTTAACAGGGCTTCTATTTTTGACTCTTCCCTTTCTTGCCTTTTATCTGTTTCTCTATCCCACATAATGTTATTAGGAGTACACTGTCCTGCTAAGGCAGCTGCCTACGCCAGTCTTAAGTGTTATTTGTGTACACAAGAAATGCTGGACTTAGTGGGGCTTGGTTTATAATACAGGGAAAATAGTGTCAGCCAAGTGCACAGCAGTGTTTTTCTAAGGTTATTTAATTGTCTTGTACTTGGCAAGAGAGCTCTATCCTAAATTAACTCTGGCTGTGATGTATGAAGAAGCCAGGCTGGGTGCACAGGAGTGCTTTTGGTGCATGTTAGACATAATCAAAAATAAGGCAGTAACCAAGTTTATGAAGAAATAACTGTTATTTTACTGTTCACAGATCTGCTTGTGAGCTTTTTTTTGTCTTGTATTAATGCAAAAATATATTGTTCTATACTGGTTAAGACAAGAAATCCAGTAACTTCTTTCCGCTAACTACTCTTATCTGTAAAATATATTTACTGCAGTATATTTTTTAAATAATTTTTTGCAGTGTTGAATAGAAAAAGAAAGAAAAATGGAGGCAGAGACCATTTTAAGTCTTAAACAGCAACTCAAGGAAGCAGAGAACGAGCGAAGAAAAGCAGCACAATATGGTTTGCATTTACTGGAGTCCCACAATGAGGTTCAAAATCAGCTGGATCAAACACGCTGTGAATTGACTGAGAAAACTGAGGTGACGACTGCCTTTTCTTCTCAAAGCTCAAAACCAGAACTTAATTTTATTTTTACTGTTTTCTGAAAGGCACGGGTGTTTTACATGCGTTCTAGCATCTAGATTAGTTTTGATAAACCTCTGAGTAGTTGTAGAGAGGGCTTTTTTCTCAGCTATAAGACATTGAGCATAATTGTATCTAACTAGGAGAGAGTTTCATAGCTAATTATGCATCAAGTGTTCAGTATCATGTAGGGCTAATTGACTTTAATGTAAAATGAGTGCTAAATGCTAAAGTAAACTTGTTTCGGAGCATGTTTGTCCTCTGTTTAGCAATCCATTTGTGTATGCTCTCCCAGACAGCTTTATATCACTTAAAAGCTGTGCAAAGAATGTTACCAGCAAGACTGTGAAATTGACTTCTTCTCTAGTGAAGTTTTCACATTTTCCAAATACCCAGGGGTTCTGAACTTTTTAGCACATTTTTTTGAAGCTCAGAAAAAGGAGTGCTGAATTGTAGAGGTACTATTTAGCTGACCAGTTTTCTTTGTAGTAATTGTTCAAGAAAATTTCAGTTGGGCAAGTCTCTTCCACTTTTCATAAAGGCTTTGGGGGTCATCTTTGTGTTCTGCCAGCTCTTGTTTCAGATAAATTATTCATCTTCATTTAGTCTCTTTCTGGCTGTGCATTTATCCCTTCTCCTGGGATAGAGCTGAAAGGTTTGATTTGTAGCAGCTGGAGCGTTGTAGCACCCTGCTGTTCTGAATGGACAGAATATTTTATTCTAGTCAGTTCACTATTAGTAAGTTTTGTGTGAGAGGCAGCTGAAGGCACAAGTTCCAAGGCAGCCAGGGCAGGTCATCCTTTCCTGCTGCCCAGCACAGAGGGCAGGTACTGAGCTGTCAGGCTGCTCCCTTAGGTTGTGATCCTGTGTGAGAGGCTGGAGCCACCTTCTGAGCCTGGCTGGTAACTTGGATTCCAGGGGTGGAGGGTAGGAATTGTGGGCCTTCATACAGTAGAATAACATTTTGTGTGGCAGCTGTGCTTACCCAAGAGATTCATGGCTTTTGAATCTCTCTGGCTCTACTCTGTGCTGGTTGAGGCAAGTAATTCAAGGCAGTGCTGTGAGCACAAGTGTGGGTTCCAGCAGCAGGCACAAAAGCCTCTCAAAGCTCTGTGTGTTCTTCTGCACCAGTGTGCAGACAGGTTCTTGCTGGGATTTTGTTGTCCTTGGCTCTGGCCAAGCAGTGCACTCCCAAACCTGTCCTATGGCCAGTCTTTATCTTTCTGTTAAAACTCCTGCCCTAGGTGTTTGAGAGCTAAGCCTGTCCTTGATAAGCTTGTATCTAGGCCACAGAGGTCACTTTGATACCTGACAGCTTTTCAGTTTTTTATTGAGTTCTGTTTTGTGTCTCAAGAGTTAGGTTATTTTGAAACGGGAAAAAAAATCCACATGTTTAGATTGATTTGGCTTCCTTATTAATTTTCTTGCTTTCAAGATTCTCTTTTTATTTTCTTTAATTGCTGGCTGAATGGAGGAGTAAAATGAAGCCACCCTTTGTAATTAGCAAACATGCAATCAAGTAGAGATAGAAGCTGTTTAAAAAATTACTCTTCAGTTTGGAAGAGTTGATGGGGATTTATTATGAAACAGACAATTTAGCTGTCTTAAAAAAACTATTAAACTCAGCTGTTCTGCTTGATGGACTGTAGTAATTTTTAACATAATTGGGTTCTGTAGCGATAGAAAGGACTTAAACTCTGGCTAAATTTATGACACTTGCAGAAAAGATACCCACACCTTTCATGTTGGGTGCAAAGGAATACAGAGTTTCCATGAAGAAGAGACTATTTCACAATCAAATTATAAACACAACATTTAATAATAACATTTTAGAGCAGTTATTTTTATTTTTTTTAAAACACAGATATTGCAACTCTCTAATTGGCACTCCAAACAAAAGACTAAATGAGCTACAAGTATCTTGATTTTGAGCCTGTGCTTTTTCATAAATGCATAGGAAACAGTGTACAATTACATCTAGATTTATTAGTGTATCATTTCTTTCAGAAATTTGAACAAGAGAAATACACACTTCAGAGAGAAATTGAACTCAAGAATCGAATGTTGGAAAGTTTGAATTTTGAATGTGATTCCCTTAAGCAGCAGCAAAATGTGCAGCTGGATAAGCAGAAAGAACAGCTTGACAGAGCCTATGGACAAGAAATCAGTAACCTTAAAAACAAGGTTTGATAACTAATCTGTAGCTAAAAGGTTGTTAATAACATTTTAGATACTATTTGCTTAACTTATAATTGCACTCGTAACTACCAAAAGAGATAGTAAATAGTTACAATGTGTTGTAGCTTGTTTGCTTTTTAAAAAATCTGTTTAGTTACTTATGAATTACATGAATTTCAATGCTTATTTTTAAAAGATACTCTTGTGTTTCCAAGATATTTTCTGTAATTGGAGCAGTCAGAAGTATTGTGCTTTTCAAGAATTCACCATGAAATGATACTAGTTAGTTATGAACTGTTTTTAAGTTGGAGAACCTGAAAGCAGAACTGGATGAAACCCGACTCTCAGAGAAACAACTGAGACAAAAAGTGGAGCATCAGAAGGAAATAATTGCTGCCAAATCAGAAGAACTGCACATGATGTCTGAGCGTGTCCATGAGACCATGTCTTCAGAAATGCTCAACCTGCAGATAGAGCTCACTGAACTCCAGAGCCAGAAGGTGTGTGAATAGCACTGAGTTTGCAGTGTAGCCTAGTTGAAGATGAAATTCTGCCTGTTTGCTTGTTTCATTTTTAGGTGTGCTGTCTGCAGTGCCATGTTAGGATTGGCTCTTATTCAATGTGCACAGCAAAAAGTAACAGCTGTAATAGCTAGGCTTTAATAACCTCTCATCTTCAAGATAATATTTTGTATTAAAGCTAATTAATACCAACAAATGTCTTTGGCTTACTTAGGCCTGCTTGTCTTCCAATTGTTTTAAATATTTTTCATTTCATGCTTGTTTTTTGTTTAGGCCAACGATGAAGAAAAGCTGAGTGAGCTGCAGTGCAGTAAAGAGCAGTTAGAGCTTGTGAACAGTAACTTATGTAACCAGCTGGAGCGGCTGCAGGGGGAGAAGGAAGAGAGGGAAAAAGAAGTTGTCTTTTACTGCAATGCATTAGAGGTATTCTTTTAATTTTACTTCACAGTGGTAGATAAACCCCAAACTGCACAAGGTGTGTTGCCAGATTTTTGGTGAAGGAGGAGTTTTAGGAGTTGTGAGAGAGAGGGGGAAGAGAATGACTGTGGTTGGTCATGTCTGGTGTTGCCTGATGGTAAAAACTCTGTTGGCCTTGCTTTGTGGCAGCTGTGAAAGGAGAGCCTTTGCGTGGCACTCTTTTGCCTCTTGGGGACCTTCTCACAGGTCACTGGCAGAATTCTTTTTGTTTCAAGTTCCGGCTGAATGCCTCGGAGAGTCTTGAACTGGGAAGTAGAGCATTTGTCACTGATGAACACAGCTGGGAGAGTGATCTGAATATCATGAGTCCAATTGGCAAACATCAAAGCTTACCCTTAAAGGCTTTTAGTTGTGCTCTTGTCCTCAAGAACAAGTGGGATATTAAGTGTTTTAGTGAAATGAAATTAATTTGTCTCTTAGTTACTAGAACTGTATATACAGTGAAGGACTTCAGTACAATATAATCTCTGCTAAAGTATAGCAAATTAAAAAGAGTTAAAGCTATCTGATTAAATTTGTGTATGCAGTACATCAGATGCTTAAATGACCAATATCCTCTTTGCTTTAATCTAGAAAGCTCGTGAGGCTAATCAGGAGCTTCAGGTTCAGCTGGATCATGCAGTGCAGCAATCTTTGGACCCTACAAGTAAAGGCAATTCTCTCTTTGCTGAGGTACAACTATGCAACAGATGCCTGAGAAGTATTTTCAGTTTTCTTTCTTATATTGTACTGAAAATATGGGAGTATCTGCACGTGATCTGGCCAGCATGTATCTTTATTCCTCAAATATGACTTCAGTGTTGATCTGACATGTGGAAAAGCATTTCATGCTCTCTCTGAAGATAAGGAGTTAGTAAATTTAATGGAATCACTTCAAGTTATCTGACTGTCAAGTCAAAAGTTGTGACTGAGGGTTCATGATGGCTCTGTCTGCAGCTCTTGATTTTGTTTTCCACTGATAAATCCATCTTTAATGTAGAAGACAGCATGTGAAATATTAACAGTTGTTGATAAAAGCTGCCTTCTTGAAAATGTCTGGATGTTTGAACTTTTTGGGAGGGTTTTGGAATTGGCTTTTGAGTAAGAGCTAAATGCATAGGGAGCATTATGTTTCATGTAGCATCCAGGGGATGGGTGAACTTGGGAAACAGTTAAAATTATTTTAAACTGTTCTGTTGCCAGTGGACAAAACTATTCTACAGCAGCACTGAAGCATGTGAAATGTTACTTTACTTTGATATCAGAAGAACACAAGAAAAATCTGTTGCATTTCACTGGTTGGGCTTCTATTCACTTCTATCAGAGAGCAAAGACAGTAGCCTGTATTTTCAAGTACTGTTGCTGGAAAAGCAGTGTTTGCAGACTGAACACAAATTGCTAGGCAGCATGTCCTTATCAAACTTATCCCAGTGACAGCAAGTGTTGTGATTTCACAGTAATAATTGTTCACAATGTTCTGTAGGTGGAGGACCGTAGGGCAGAAATGGAACGACAGCTGATCAGTGTGAAAGTAAAATATCAGTCCCTACAAAAACAGCATGCATTCAGTAGAGAACAATTGCAAAAAATGAAGGTAGGATGATTCCTGTAATACTCCAGGGTGTCCTTGGGTCTGATAAGGCCAGGGGATTTGTTATCTTTAAAATACGGTGCAGTAGCCTGGAGGGAGGGAAATGGGAGAAAAAACAAGTGAGATGGTGTTGTGCTATTTGACTCTTATGGTCCAACAGCATCCACCTTACAGTGAAGGCACCATGTTTGCTCACTTTGGCAATAGTTGTTTAATGGATAAAAGTAAAACACAACTCCTGTCAGTCAAACTAGCATTCAATTTGTCTCGGTAATTGTTTTTCCTTTTCTTGTCTAATTCTTGTACTACATGAATCAGGTATTTGTACATTAACTGTGGTTGTCAGGAATGAGCGTAAAGAAAAAGATAAGCTTTTACCTCCATCACATTGTAGGGGTTTGGGTTCTTCTACCTTGTCTTTTTCCATTTTTTTTTCTTGCTTTTCCCTGTTTTTGGTATAAGAATAAGTCATAACTTTCATAATTCTTTAAGTTAAACTCCACTGCTACAGGATGGGAGCCTGTTGGTTAATATTGTTGAGGACTAGTTAGCAGAAGCTGATTTACAAGACAAAGTCAATGGGATGCTGCAGAGCTGCCAACTGTTTTCATGTTGGTCTCATGATTTTTCCAGTGCTAAAGTGGATACTTTCATTTTGATTAACTACTTGGACATACAGTTTGAGGAGAGTACTTAAACATCCATGAATTGCACTGAAGGTTTGTTTTACCTAGATTTTGTGGAGTAGATTGAAAAGAGTTCAAACAATGGTCTTAAAGGAGAAGAAAAACCATACTGATACAGCGAAGATTTGAGTGAGGAAAGTCATTGGGTAGGATCAGTTCCTTTGGAAATATTCTCTTTGTGATATGGAGTAAGTCAGTTATACTGATTGAATGGTGTAAGAAACACACCTAATGCTAAAAGTACCAAAAATAGAGGCAAATTGGTATCCCTGTACTAGTACTTAATGCTTTTAGTTAGAATTCTTTCTATTTTTTTTCTGATAGTATTGGAGATGGGTAGTTTATTAGAAAAGCTGTTTTGCTTAAGCTGCTGTCTCAGATCCATGTTAGTGTCCTCTCTGTGTTGTGCTGCACTGAGATGCTGCCAGTTAAAGCTCAATCTGAGTTTAGCTGATATCTCCACTCAAAGCTGCTTACCCCACAGGAGAGGTAACTGCTGTTGTATCTTTAGTTGAAGAATCTCACTTTGTGGTAATTACTGGTAAATCCTGAGCATCTGACTCCTGAGCAGAATGTACACAGCACTCCTGGGAAAGCTTTTCCACCTCTAGTATATTTTTCCTAGTCCAGAGCATCCTTTCCAGTTTCTTTAAGTTCCTTGTTATGTAGATCAGCTGAAAGTTGCAATTCTGACAATTAGCAGGAGGGCTTTTAAGAGGAAAGAGAAAAAGGTTGGGTGTCTGTGCTTGGCAGCTGTGAGGATAGTTTTAGTCAGCCAGTGAGGTGGAGTTTACAATTTTGCCCCCTTTACATCCTGTGGAAGCTCTGAGGAGATGATTGAATTTTTCATTAGCTCTAATTTGTGCACAGAATCATCAATACCCTTTACCTGACATAAGAGATTCTACAGGGTAAATGCTCTTCTCACTTTCCCTCTAATCTGTTTTTTCACTTGATCCTTTCCCTGTGAATTCTCCCAGTGTTACCTTATCCATACTGACTAGACTGATAAAAATGCCTCAGTTGTCACTAACACCTTATGAAGTCTTTAATTTATTCTGTTTCTTGTTTAAATGTCTCATGTATCACCTGTAACTGAATGTATTAAGACCCTTGTACTTCAATATTAATAACACCAACAGAAATATTGTTGTAAATGTCAGATTTTTATAACTTCTCCTTTATAATGACAGAGGGTGTTCTTTTGCCTGAAAGGATGTATTCCATTGGAGAAGCAGAAAAAGCTGAAATTCTTGGGTTGATATTGTAGAAGGCAAACATGGTGGTGTTACATTTGAAAACAGAACTTCAAAAATGAGGGGTTAAGCTTGTGGAATTTCCTAAGTGAGTTCTCAAGGTGCAAATCAGCCTGGACTGAGACTGGCTTCTGGCTGGCTTGGTGCTGATGGTGTGGATGTGTAATGTTGTGTGTGTCCTTGGCAGGGTGTTTATGTGCTCCTCAGCCAGTACAGGGATGAGGGGGACACCTCAGGACTGCTCTGCTCACTGAGATCTCAGCTGTCCTCATGCCTTGGTGGTGATAATTGCTGGGATTATGTCACAAAGGCTGAGTTCAAGCATCCAGTGCTCTTCTATATTCAGGTTTAGAATGACAAGGCTTGAGTGCTCAAACAGTTTTGTGTAAAAGGCTGGGATTTTCAGTCACTAATCCCAGTACTCGTTGTAAATAGGTTTTTCCTCTTTTCCAGCTGCAAATGGCTACACTGCTGCAGCTGAAAGGCTCCCAGGCAGAATTTGATCAGCTGGAACGCTTACAGTCCATGTTAGAGCAAAAAAATGGTGAAATAGAAGATCTTCTTATGAAAGTGAGGCAGCTAGAAAAATTTAAGGTATGTGGTTTTTAATTAAGTAGAAAATTGTAATTGAAGCTAAAACATGAAAACTATGTGAAGTCCATGCTGGGGTTTGAAAAGGGATTGAAAAGTTGACTCATATCTTTATTTGACCTGAATTGTATTTTCCAGCTGGAGAATATTACACTCCTCAAGTGCAGAGAAGCAGAAAATTATACCTTACCCAACACCTGGGTTAAAGAAACAATTTTGTGTCCTGTATGAAGCACCTTCATATGGTTTATAGTTACTTCTAGCATTTAAATTCAGTTACTTGGTCAAAACTCACTGAGCTGTGACATCCAATTTTTCTCTGGGAAGGTGTAGTCATTTGGCACTTTTACTGTGTGTGCTTAGGCTTTAGCCTTTGGTGTCTCAGCTCTATTGAATCTCCTGGATATTTATTTTCTTGATGTGTCTTAACTTTGCAGCTAAATCATGCTCTTTTCTAGCAAAACTGATTGCTTAATTTTCCTTGTAAAGCAGTTTTTTCAGTCCTCTTATGCACCTTGAAAACATCTTGTCAGTATTTTGAAAAGTGAGAAACACATGAGGATTTTTATATACATCAGTGTAATACTGCTGATGTTTGTGTGTTTCCAGAATGAAAAACTGGAGCCTTTCTTAATTCTTGCATGTTTCTAGACTTGTTTGGCCCTTTCTTATCAGAGCTTTGGAATGCAAACTGGGGTGTATTTACTTGTGTGGTAGGACTCTGCTTTCCAGGATAGCCTCTTGTATTCTGTATTTAACCCAATAACCTGGTGAAGCCAGGCTTAACCCATTTTAGTAATAATTGAGGCAGTGTGATTGTTTTACCAGTTTTGTCATGTTTAAGCTTGATCTGTACATAATTTGTCTCTAGACCATAAATGAGTAGTGTTGGGAAATTGAATGATTGGTTCCAATAACCACCAAAAGTGTCTACAGGCAGTGACTGACAGAAGCCTGGGAGGTCTCTGGGGCAGGATTAAATTTGGGTACTGCTTGTTCAGGAAAAAAAACCCCAAATAAAAACCCCAGAGTCACATGATGCTGCATTTATAACATCTTTACTATGAACCAACTTCCCCATCTGAAATATGTAATTCATTTTGAGATTTTGACTGTTGATTAGAATGGCTGGTATTCCTCTGGGGTCCAGCTGCTGAAGCCTAGAAATAAATGCTGAGAAAAATTCCCTGTGCCTTAACTAAATACTCTGTGTTTTCAAGTAAAAAGCAAGTGTTCTGCAGTGCTGCTTGCAAACCTTCTGGAGTTAACTCTTTTTTCCTTTTTTCAGTGGATGAGAGAGAGAGCTGTCAATATTAGTGCTATTTGACATTTGTAACAAATGAGAACGTACTCAGAAGCAGCTGAGTTTTATCTTGTCTTTAAATCCCTCTATGATGAGGTTTCACCATCACAATGCATAGAAAATTTTTCCTAAGAGCTAAGCTAATGTGCTTCTGAAAGGTCACTGCTTGACAAGCTGACACCTGTTCTTTATCAGAGTTTATATGAGAATATGGAGGAGTCCAGACCTGCTAATGGTGCGAAAGGAAGCGATTCTGAAAATGGGTACTATGCAGATTTACTGCAAATTAAACTTGACAACTCAAAGTAAGTGCTTCCAGCCTGGAGCCCTGGTTGTGCCAGGGTTATCTTCTAGGTACTTGTTTTTATCCTCCCTTTTTTATTACTGTTTGTATGCACTGACTGCATGTGCAGATGGGTTTTGTCCCTGTTGTATTTTCTAATGCTGTGGAACCAACCTGACTTCATTATAGGACTGAGAGTTTGTTTTTTTTGTAGTTTCATTTTTATTTTAAAAGATAACAGGAGAAATACTGTTTAGGATTATTGGTTTATTCCAGAAATGTTGTTAATACTCCTAATACAGGGAAATTGAGATCTTGAATCAATTCTAAGTTAATATGTAAGAAATCTCTATGAAAAGTCTTAGTCTTTAGGCTGTGTATGTTTATTTCTCTTATAAAAAGTAAGATAATGACACTTAAAATGTTTCATAGGACAAAAAAGCTTGATTTTTCCTACTAATGTATAAATACCAGTTTAAGGTGAAGTTGAGTGCTCAGTTGTTGCTTTACTAAAAGAGAAAAAGCCAAACAAATTCAAGTGTGACTGATTTTATAATTTTCCTCACATCCCAGCAAGGAAACTGAAGCACTGAAAAATGAGCTATCCCTGCAGAGAATGAAAGCTCTGTATGAGAGCCAAAGGGTCCTGGAATTTGAAAGGAAGCTCTTCACAAATGAGAGGCATTTGCAAGCTTGTCAGAGTGAGAATATGAACCTGCGGGTTATGCTGGATGAGCTGAAAATGAAATATGAACCTGAAGGTAAATACTTCTTTTCTATCTGGGAAAATATAATTTTTTCTTTAGAAATGGAATGACATTAAACATGAAGACATTGGTTTAGTTCCAGAATTTAATACTTAAATAGCTGATTTTCTGAAATAACCTGATCCAAAATCTGCTGAGCTGAAGTAGAAAAGCCCTGCCTTGCTCAACACACTTGAATATGTGAACACTGACTGGAGGAGACTAAGGAATGCATTTTGACAGTTAAAAATGGCAGTGTTCAGGGACTTTATAGAGCACAGGTAGATAACCAGGCTCAAGTGAGTGGGATCAAATCTCAGGTGTTTCCCATAATAGCAGCAATGTGTTTGGTGATGAGAAGTCTTGGCTCTCCAGGTGTAGGCAGCTGATGGGAGCTTTGGAATAAGGTGCAAAGCATTTACAGGAAAACAGTTTAGTAGCTCAAGTTAATATGGATTAAATTTTGGCTAGAGAGACCCACCTGACAAACAGCTGATACCTGAGTATGGACAAAGCAAGGGAGCTGTGGAGGAAGAGGATTCTATTTAAACTGAGAGCAAGTTTATATGAGATACTAGCATGAAACTTCCCTGTAAGGGTGGTGAGGCCCTGGCCCAGAGCAGCTGTGGCTGCCCTGTCCCTGGAGGTGTCCAAGGCCAGGTTGGATGGGGCTTGGAGCACCCTAGTCTAGTGGAAGGCATCCCTGCCCATGGCAGGGGGTGGAATGAGATGTGCTTTCATGTCCCTTCCAACCCAAACAATTCTGGGATTCCATGGACGAATCAGGTAGGGAAGTTGTTTCTGTCCACACCCAAAGGATTTAACTTTAAAATGTTACTTGTGGAAGCTTATCTCAGCAGCCTGCAGTTCAGAGCATTTAATTTAAAGCCTTAGTGAAAAGACAGTGGATTAGAAGAAAGATATTTGTCTCTTTCAAATATCAGCTAACTTCTGTTGGGATGGTCAGATTATATGAAGAAACATTATTTAAGGGTTAAGTTATAAATTGTCTATTAAGAATTATTCCAAGCTCTTTAGTCATGTGAAATATTCTTACTTTTATTATTAACATGTTAGGGGACAAGTAATCTCCAGCTTTTTTTGTACAAAAAGTATATTCCATTTTTTCCTTCAGAATTACTTAAAGGTTCTAAAATTAAAAAGAAGAGGGAGAGAATTCCAGCGAATGCGACGTGTGAATACTTTGACAGCAAAAATACTCCAGTGAAAGAAACTGCTCTCACTCAATTGCCAAGTAAGGAAGGGAAAAAGATGACTGCCAAGAACCTTGAGCAAAGTGATGCTTCTCCAAAAGGACAGCCTATCCAACCATCCCCACTACATACAGCTCTCCAGGCAATACGGAACATTGTTGAACCTGAAAGAAAAAGAGTTAAAATTCAAGATGAGAATCACGTCACCTTTACTTTGAATAGCATAAGTGGAAACAATTCCTCGGCTCCAGCTGTCCCCAGGTCAGTGTCAGCTTCTGTCTCTGCTCCAGGCAGTCAGCACAGACCTGCATCTCTTTTCTTTCGCTGCATGAACTGTGCTCTCCACTGCTTTATCTATTTCCTCAGTCTTGCATGCAGTGTCATTCCTCAGCTCCGGCCGCCCACACTCAACCTCTCACTACCTTTTAGAAGGACTCAAACACTGACTAATAAAAAAGACTCTTGAAACAGTCTCTGAAATAACTTTCCCATTGCTTGAAGACATTTAAGGTGTGCAGGTAGCATGACAGCTCACTTGGTTTGCTCCAGCATCAGAAACTTTGTGTTCTTGGTACCCTCAAAACTGCCACACGGCTGCATTGCAAATCAAGGTAATAAAGGCAGCTGGAATCACGCTCCAGTTTCATGCCCAATTTCAGCCCCCAGCCACTTGCAGATTTAGCTAAAAGCCTAAAAATTATTCAAGTAATTCTTCACCTGAATTGTGTTAACTTTCATTGTACAAGATAATAGAGAATTAATTAGCTGTCTGTGTTCTCAGACAAGTGAAATGCATGGTCTGGATGCACAATAGCTGGAAACACAACTGCCAAATTAAGATGAAATTTTTTCCCTGAACTGAGAATTGAAGTTACCTTTTGCTAGATGATAAAGTAACGGAGAACAGTCATTATGTCCAGCTTTTTTATTTTGGTAAAAACAATGCTGACTTTGATTTTCTACTTTTTCAACTATTGCCTTTTGTATTCTCTTTATACTCTTTGTAAACACATATTCGAGTGTTTAGGGGTAGAAACAAGTCCAGAGGTTTAGGGCTTGCAACTTGCTAATAGCTGCTGGCAGAAATAGCCAAAGTTAATGACTTTCAGGGTAATTGGGTTGATACTTTGGCTCTTAGATCAATTCCTTAAGAGTGCATGGATGTAATAAACAGATTTAAAGTAGCCAAATACTGCAGTCTTCTTAAACTGTGGAGAGAATAAGGCAGAAACAGCAGTTTTAGCAGTTGTGTTAAAATGTGAGATTGTTAGTGAGGAGGGAAGATCAGGAAGGTCAGGTGTGGATGAAAATGGAGAGGAAAGATTGGAATAATTTAGTGATGGTGTTGGGTTTTGATAATGTCCTCTACACATAAAGGAACAGGCAGAATGTAACCTGATATGAAACGTTTAACTTCTTTATATTGCTTTGGGAAAAGAAGATATAATGTCTGCTTACAGGAAACTGTTGGAAATAGTTTATGGGAACTGAAGGGGGAAACCTACTGGAGAGGGGGTGAGGAGTGGAAATTATTTATGGAGTTGATGCTGGAAAGCAAAGAGTAGGAAAAGTGGAAGAGGAAGATGAAATCATAGTTCAGAGGGAGGTTTCTAATCTTGTACCCATTGCTGTTGGTTCAAATAAGGAACAAAAGATTAAAAATATTTGAAAAATAAAAACCACAAACACAATTAAGCTCCACAAAACTCCATATAAACTGTTAAGCTTTTTTTGGTGATACTATGAGTCTATAAAAGGCAAATCCAGGTATAAAATTGTTTGTTTCTGATTGTGTTAATGAGCTACTAAAACCCCAGGTCATGATACTAAGCTAACATTAAAGATTTACTTACCCCTCTTCTGCTATGATGTGCTATAAAATAGGAAGTCATGTTAAAGTCCGAACCTTTGACAAGCTGAATTTCTAAACACTGAAAGAATCTCTGGACTGTTCTGTGATGGATGTGGCTGAACCTTGGGCATGGAAAATACTGGCAAACGGATCAGGAGTGGGGACCTGGAAAGGACAAGTTTGTGGGAGGAAAAAATAAGGGTGGATAGCTGTCAGTGTTTCACCTTGTACTAACTAAAATGTGATGCTGCAGCTGAAAAGGCTGTTGTGGTCTCTGGGGATTGGTTTTGTGCCAGGAATAGTTTTTGTGCAGTAATTAGTGGAGCTCTGACATTGGCCCAGGAATTGTGGGAGAACAGAGCCATTTTAGCTGTGAAAGGGCTGCAAACTTTGTTTCTAGAGAGTGGGGTTTGAATTTGTCATCTCAGCCCAGGAGGTGATGAGGAAGTGGTCAGAAGAGATCTGGGTGTGCTTGTGGAGGTGACAAACTCCCTTGTGTGAAGAGACTTCCTTGATGAGGAGATTTAAGCAGGTACAGCTGGATAATCTCAGCCAACACCTCTGTGTGCAGGGCACCTCTGTGTCCTTCCAGGGGGCTACAGCCAGCACTGCAGTAGCTCATTAGGTGGTGGCACTGATCAGGTTATGAGTGTTGAGACTACAGATTAAAATATTCAGGTGGTGATTATTATATCTCAATGCATACTGACAATGCAAAGGTTATCTGCAGTGATGCCTTTTGTTTGGCCAACTAAGTGGTCAAGAGAAATAAACATTTCTCTGTTGAAATGCTTTTCTTCCCTGAATAATTCCTTCTAGCTGTAACTACATAAGGATTTGGCCAACTCAAAGTGAAGGTGACCATGGACTGCAGAGTTACAGGGTCTAATGCAAAGCACATGGTGGGGCAAACCCTGATCTAGCGGAGGTGCACAGCACAGCCTGGTTTTCTTCAGCCAGTTGAGACAGTGCTTATAGGGAATAACATGCACAAGGCCTGCAATGCATCATACTTGGACAGCAGTCTGAATCTGTAGCTGAATTTCCCCAAATTTGTTGTTACAGCTCCTTTCATAGTCCTCCAGTTCAGCTGTGCCTTTCTGTATTGCAAATAAGTCTCTGTGTAGCACCTATTTGTGTTGGGAAAAACATCGCTGAAAGCAGCTGTGCATGGTGTGGGTGGCTCACTGGGGGCTCCTGAGACCACTAAAAATCCAAAAGATCACCAGAGAATTGCTTTAATATGTGTGCTGATAAACGAGGGTAGAGTTTGGGTTGTTATATAAAGTGATGTTTAATTTGGAACTTTATTTTCTGTAACTCTTTCTTTGTGAAAATAATCATGTGTAACAGTCAATGGACTGTGGGTAATTTGGTTGGGTAAAATATCACTATTCATCAATTGTTCTAATAGCATGTTTGCATATTCATTAAATTAAAAACCAGATTTAGGCATCTGAGCACAATCTGATGTTTTGATTTCAGAATTTTCTTTTTAACAGCAATGAGACAATTTTATCCCCATTCCCATTCATAGCAGAATTAAAACTTGTCAGTAGACAAATGATATTGCTTAAAGCCTGAAAATAAATCTTCCCCCAGCTGAAGCTATTCAAGCACTAAGCTGAAGGCCATAGTAATGTAGAACGAGGTTGAAGGGAGCATATTTTAAGGGTAGGTTTTTGGTGGTGTAGAAGCAAGAAGCTTGATTTCATCCCATTTGTGTGATGTTGCTCAGACTTTGCACCTGGAGTTGTGCTTTTGGGGACTGGATCTCCTTTCTGTGCATGACTGTCACTGGTATTTCTGAAGGCTGATCTCAGCCACTTCACATACTCAATAACCTTCCTTACCAAACATTTCAGCAGCTGAGGTGTGGGAGGAGGCTTTAAGCGATGGAATGTGATTAGGACTGATATGAAAATGCTTTGGTTTAGTCTCATTTTCTTCTTAAACTGTGCTTGCTCTGTCTCTGTATATGGATGGTCTTGTTGATTTTGCCTAAATTCTTATTTTAGTCCTGGTGTATATTAACTAAATATATATTTAGAATGGTTGCTTTGCCTATAGGTTAACAGCTGAATCCGGATTTGAAACTACAGAAGAGGATAAGAGAGAAACAAAAATCTCAACAAAGAAAACACAGAAGAAAAAACATTCCACATTGTATGTATCTTCTAAGGCAAGTTCTGAAACTCAGTGTGCTCAGCAGTAAGTCACTTCTGCAGGGAACCTGGACAGTTTGGGGTCCTGCTGCAGCAGGAGCTGCTGAGTGAACTCTGTCTCACATCAGGTTGCTCACTTGAATATTGATCTGCCTGCTGTTGTGAAGGGTGTGACTGCCTGGCAGAGCTGCACTTTTGATGCTTCCCTGAGGGCACTTCTTGTGTTCCCTGCACTTGACCTGAGGCGTGGCCTGTTCTCCACTCTTGGCAAATCCTCTGAACTCATTCATTGCTCTTTCTTTGAAGCACAGGGCTGTTGTGGAGGAGAAGTTCTGGCTAACAGAGGTTTTATAACATGGTAAGACAGACTAGACAGGGCTGATGGAGAACTCAAGTAAGTGATGTGCTCCTAAATTTCTTCCAGTTTACAGATTCAGAATTCTTAATATTTTTCCTCCTAAAGTGTTAATTTTCAACTTTCAGGCTGGCATGTTTGCAAAAGTGCATGTGAATCACTCCATGTGTTTTGTTGGTCAGTGTTTGAAATTCTTTGGATTCTTGTATTTGTACTATTAATTAAAATAAAGGTTTATTTCTTACTTTAGAAAATGTAGTCTGTATTGTATTTGAAAAGACACATGTATCAATTTTTTAAATAAAGGTGATGTCTTTTGTAGAACTTCTTGTTTAAAAAAAATACCTCTCAATAAATGTTAAGAAAGTATAATGCAGGTGCTGTGTGTCCTGTTTTTAGGAGACAATTCTGTAACTTCCTGAAGTTTGTGCAGAAAAATTTTGAGGAGACCATTTCTGCTAGGTATTTGAATAGAAGTTGGATTACTCCATTAGAGTCATGATAGTACAGTTTGAGCTCCCTCTGGTGAATGGATTAGCCAGTTTCTAAGTAAAAGACTCAGTAATTAAGGTGAAAGTTCTTTAAGACTTTTTTAAAAATCCATCATGGAAAAGAATACATTGGGGAGCAGTCTTGCAACCCCCTGGTTTGTTTACAGTTCTGCCAGGTCTGAAGCGGTGCCTGGGATTTTGTTAATTCTGGTGACTTTAGCTCACCAGTCACTTACCTCAAAAAAAAAAGAATTCTGATCACAGCAAAAGTGACTAAAAAGGTGGGAATGTCACCATAAATGACCACATCTTCTCCCTTTCCAGGGAGCTCCATCTCGTTATCAGAGCATTTCTGCACAGTTCTGCTTAGGCACAGCCCAGTGGCTGTACTTCTGTTGGACAAAATAATCAGAAATTTGTGTGTCACAGAATCGGATTTTGTCACTTCACTGATGTAAGAAATTTGCTATGTAGCTGAGTTTTTCAGTCTGTTGTTAATGAAGCTACATAAACTGAGAATATCTTCTTGTTAACTTTTACTAAGGTTTTACTGACAGCAAATGTATAGCCACGAAATAGTTCTTGCTCTTCTTGACTTTGTCATATGAACTTAAATTGTTATGTTAAAGAAATCCTGGTTTTATGCTACAAAATGTTAGAAACAAATCCTTTATTATGAAAATGATGAAAGTTACATTTGTTTACTGTCACTACTGTGAGACACAAATAGCCTAGAACAACTGAGGTATGTGATTGCTCTACTTAGAGGAAAACCTTTGGTAAGCTGACATTGGATAATGTGTTTAAATGGCAGTACTCAGCTGTAGATTGTCTATTAAGACAATTAATTGTGTGTTTTATGTTATAGTTAACGTTTTGTTGAGCTACTGGGCATGTGGCATTTCTAAAGTTATTTCTAGGTTGAAAAAACTAGTTAATTTACGTGACAAACAGAACTGGGATGCCATTTCAACAAACAAATGAAGCTGATTAGGATTATCTAATTACCCCCAGGGGCTGCTGGAGTCCACTGGGGAGTGTGCAGCCTTTACCATCTTATGCAGTGGGTTTGTGTTTACACATCCTCCTGCAGGAGTGCAGGTGGGGGAATGTGTCTGGGCTCCAGGCTTTGGGTGTGCTGGAACACACTTGAGGTACTGTACATGAGAGTTCTTGCTGTATTTTCTTATTTGGTTCTGGTTTGTGTCATCAGTTGCTTTTCTGCAACTGTGCTCACAGATCCTGGCATAAAATAGAGTTAAATGGAACTTCTGTGTTCTGCTCAAATTCTTTATAATGGAAATTAGCTAAAAAATGGGTAGTTAGCTACTCATCATCTTACAAGGTCTTGTTTTCTGGAACTGATAACAGTATGGAAGGAAGCAAGAACTGTCTCTCTTCTGCTTGTCCCCAGCCCACAAAAGGTAAGTTTTTCTTGTGAGCTTCCTCTACAGAGTTTCATCTTTCAGGGAAACAAGGAATTTTCTATTTTCCTTAAAAAACATTCTGTCCTGAAAAAGATTGAAGGAAGAAATGGTGAGCTATGTGAGGGTGATGACTGCGTGCTGTTTTCTGTGGAATATCAATGTGGAAGTAACAGCACAAATAAACCAACTTGGAATCAAAACCTCCATGGACAAAGGGTGTAACTATTGCCCACCTTAATTCCTTAGACCTGTGCTGGGTCTGCTGTAAGAACAGGATTTTAGGGTTACTGTGTGTGCTTTGCTCTGACACTTCCCTCTTGCAGCTAAAGAAGGATTTGGTTCCCCCATCCATTCATTAGGAGTTAGAGGCAGGAATTTTTCAGAGCCAGCCAGACAAGGTGGGAGCTGTATGAGATGAAGTGGCGGAGGGGATGCAAAAGCATCAGCATGAAAATCTGCGAGGAGGAAGCTCCAGCAGCCGTGCAGGGCTGAGAGCTGGAGAGGGGAAGGGCATGGCAGTGGGAGGCAGCAATTCCTGTGGGAGTTTTGGCCCTCGAGTTGGCTTTTGGGTGAGTCCAGAGGGTACAAGAGGGGATGTGAGCTCTGTCCCTTTGTTGTGCTGTGCTCTGCAGAACCACATCAGGCCATCAGAGAAGTGTTGCAAATTGGATACCAGTTTGTAGGTGAAATGTCTCTATTTTAGATCATTTACTTTCGGAAGAAAATAGTATTAGCTAGGTGTATTAGACATCCATGGAGAAGCAGGTTTGTAAATGAGTCCTAGAAAGAATCAGTTTTTTCTTCTGGGCTGTTGCTTTACAGGGGAGCACAATAAGGAAGAGCAAGGTAGAACAAGAAAATAAAAACAAGGCAACCTTTAGGCCAAGTAGTGAATGGGAAGAAGGGATTTGCTGCAACAGGGACTGGGAGGAGTGAGGAAGATAATTACCACTGGTTAGAAAGTTACTGCTCAAAACCCAGAGTAAATTGAAAGATTAAATAGTTCGGTCTCAAAATCTGTTTCTAGGGACAGAAAATATTAAGAACTTTTAGATTAAGCTTGTTTTCTGAAAATGGAAATAATGGGAGCTGCTGGGAATTTAGCCCACTTTAGTAAAGATAACATGACTTTCAATGTTATTTTAGGGGAGAGAAAAGAGCTAAATTGTTTTCTAAGCTAGTATGGTTAAGATTAGACCAATTCAAGCAAATCTGTGGCAAAGGTTAAAGTGATTTTCCTGCAAAAATATATATCAGAAGTCCACATGCAAGGAGAGAGGCTGGCAGTCTGTGCTTGCTAGTTAAAATCAAGAAATAAAATGTCGTGTGTTATCAAAACCAGAGGAGATGGTTATCAAAAATCAGGAGATGGATGTAGCACAGCAGTGTTAAACAGTTTGGATAAACAATGATTGCTAAGCTGCACTGGAATATCCAGAGGACAGGACTGTCAGCTGCATCTGTTGTACTAAGCAGAAGATCAAACAAACAGTAAATCTTGCAAGGATTTCATTTGAGGTTTTTTAACTCTAAACTATGAGTAAAGCACCGACTTTGTGCTTTGAGGTGACATGCTGCCTTCGATTCGGTATCTTGTCCTTAATCCACGTTCCAAAACACTTGGCTTGGTCCTTTGCACATCCAAGATGTCCTCACCCAAGCTGGCTCCCCAGCAGCTGTGTGCAAGCACAGGCTGGAAATACACTAAAAATTACTTCTGGAAGTTTTGTACTGACAATAAGTCTTTAAGAAAGTACTGCTTTGTTTAGAGAAGAGAGAGAGTCTCTTGCTTCTTCCTCCAAACATAAAATGATAGACATTTAAAAGAATGGGTGTGTTTTGAAATGTGGCTTTGTCTTCACTCCATGTCTTTTTGGAGAGGTGACATCAAAAGCACAAATCCGAGTTTGAGGGCAGATTAGAAGAGCAGAGTTTTAAGACGTAGCATCCTCTGAAGTCAAACCTTTCCAGCCTGGTGCTGGTTTGGTTTCCTGCACTGACCTGAGCCATGGTCAGAGATGGTCACTGAGCCAACCTGAAGCCCAGGAGTGGTGCCACACAGTCCTGGTGTGGGTTTGGTCCTTTTGTGCTTCTGTGTTCACAGCTGACACGGTGCAAAAGAAACACCCAGGCTGGGATTCCCCTCCCCCACGACACAGGCACGGTATCTCGAGTTGAGAAAAGAGGAAGGAAGCTCGGAGAGGCAGCAGATTTCACAGAGCCCTCGCACCGCCTGCTCGTCCCGGGGCTGGGGAGCCACGGTGCTTCCGGGGCCTGCCTTGGTCACCCCCCAGCTCGGCACCCCAGAGCCTGTGCTCCTCGGTGGGCATCCCTGCGAGCCGCTCCCTTCACGTGCCATGGCAAGATGGCACAAGACAGACAAGAGTGGCGTGGGTAAGTAGGAGCTGCCATTTGAGCATTGTCTTTCTGTCTTCTGAGCAGGATGTGGGCAGGTGTTTTCTCTGCTGTGATGGGTTAACACCATCCACTCCGCCAGCGGGGGTCAACTGAAAAGATTAAATTTGTACAAAGTTTAGATCTTCCAAACAGAACAGCATGAAGTACACTAGAGTCAGCTTTCCCACTTTGATAGCAATGCAGCTTCTCCCACTTGGTGTGGTAGAAGCAGACTGAATAAATAATGTGTTGTATAATGTGCAG